TTTTTTTTAAATCTTTTTAATGAAACATTTGGTTTGCTGGAAAGGAAGTATGAGCGTAACACTAAGATGCACTGAAACTGCCTCTTTTTAAAAATTACTTTGACATTCACACACTGCATCAGATTTTTCCACACTTTGATCTGATTACATGATTGAAAGGGGTTGGAAAAGTGCATATTGATCCACTCGAGCACCACCCAGCTCGTATGACAGTGATGTCAGCGTGTCTCATAAATCTCTCATCTCGCACACCATGCAGAGCAGGGCAGGGTCTTTTTGGCCTTCCAGCTTAAGAAAATGACACCGCAGCCAGGATTAGCTCTTTGGACATGGAAGCCTAGATTTTACACACTTGGACTAATTCATTCTTTACTCAAAAGCTCAGTGTTGAACTTGAAACCGTGAATCCAGGAACTTTTTTTTTTTTCTTTTGGTCATGACTGTGATCAAAGACATTTAGCACTGGCACATCACATCTGTTCTTGGCGACTTTAGTCTGCAGCTACAGGGATTGGCCTTCAGAGAGCAATATTATTTTAGTCCTTAAAGATTATTTTATCTTTCAGTCTGTTCCCTCTTAGTGCCTCTCTTATTCTTTCTCCATCTGTCTCTGGTTCTTTCGCTTTATCTCTCTCATTATTCATCACTCACACTCACTTTTTCAAATGCTGCCCACCTTCAGCCAAGTTCGCTCAGTATCCTAATCCTGCTTTCTATGCGGAGGTCGTAAATAGATAACCAGGTGACTGAACACCAAGCCAGCAGAGCCTGACGGGGATTCTGGGATCGGCCCTGTGGTCACGCTGACCACACCTGCCTCAGGACAGCTGTCCAAAAGGTCCTCAGTGATGTCTTTTACCAACATTTTTGTCTCTCTGCAAGCAAAGTTTCACATTTTAAGTCCAGGCAGGTACTAAAGTGAATTATTCAAACCCAAGGTAATTCATTTAGTTTAATATTCTGAAATTACGAGTGATTTTTAGGTGGTAATTTCTAAAATTACTGCTGCTGCCTGCATAATAACATAACATAAAATAAAACGTTAGCTGAGTAAGTAAAAGCTAATTGTTTTATTTATACAGCAAAGCTCAGAGTGCATGAAATTTCCCTTCATTAGTTTTCTGCGAAGCCTGACTTGCTCTGGTGATTATAGAGGATTTTATAAATGAGCAGCCAAGATTCTGAATTTTGGATTGAGTAAACAGCAAAACTGATAATTTTACTGATTTACAGTTAGCTCATTAAATGTGTACCATTTACTGTTCTTAGAGGATAAATCGATTAATTTGTAATACACTCTGCACGAAAAGCAGCAGTGGGTTTATCTATTAACAAGTAGCCAAAACTCGATATGGCTTAATCATCAGTGCCATAAAGCTCCATTGTTGTCCAGCACTATAAAATTGCAGGAATTAGCCACACTCTTGCACATGTTCCTGCGTGACTAATGAAGGAACTTGCCACTGCACTTTATTCACAATTAGTCCCACAAACACCATCCTGCTGCTCTAGATGGCCCCACGCAACCCTAAGGCTGGATGGGTCATCCCAGTCCAGCAGAGATGAAACAAATAAGGTCTGAGGGTAAATAAAAATGCAAGGTGTTTATGTAATAAAAATATTTAGTGTTTTGTTTTTTGTAATATATGTCAGATGACAGTACATAATGCCAGTCATGTTTCCAGTGGGTGCATATAATAATCAACAAAGTTTCATACAGAACTGATGGATGGATTTCGTCTGTAAAATTGAACAAAAATTTAGTTTAATCTTTTCAGGAACCATTTGAATTTTCTCTCTAGCACAAAATGGTTGAGGGATAAGCTAATGTGAAGTGCACATGGTAAAAGCACGTTCTTCTCTCTGAAACATCTGAATTTCGTCTCTAGGAGAAATTAAGACTGACAGACCTGGGGTCAATAAAGGGTTAACATGAGTATCAAAATTTAAATGCACAATATGATTAGCCTGGCCATCGACCAGCAGCTGGCACTGGGTTTTTTTGTTTTTGTTTTTATTTGTTTTTTTTAGCCTGTAAATGGCAGAATCAGACCCACAGGTACATGCTGGGTTCCTGAAGGTTCTTGTCTCTTGCAGCAATGTGATGGTGTTCATATTTCAGTGGCAGATTGATTAAAAGACAGCGATCATTAGCGTAACCAGATAAGTTCTTGCACCTAGATGCAGAAAATCCACATAAATGTTGCAGGGCTGGATTTCATCATCGTTTGATCGGCAGGTTATGCGCAGTGCACAAACACCACCACACACACTTCCTCCCACCCAAACCATAAAACAAATTGGACTCGGCAGGCAGTCATGAAAACCATAATCATCATCGTCCTTCGACTTTACCTCACAACCAGATCACACATGCGGCGTGACTGGCTCTCGCTCAGCTGTGTGAAGTCTCTCCGTCCTCTCTGAGCCATCTGGAAATGAACTCGTCCTCAGCGTTGACTTCGGTCCAGTCACACGTTTGCTGTGGGCTAATAAACTCTGACTGGAGGCTTTTTGCACTTCACAGAATCAGAGGCTTTGGCTGAGTTACACTTTTTACAGCTGCTGGGTTTGAGGGAAGACTAAGCTAAATGTTAAACAACAGAGTACAGGCTTCTCTCATTTTTCTTTCTCTTACTTTCACTTCATTCCTTTTTCTTCCCCGTCTTTGCTGTTCTACTTTTCTTTTTTCCCCCTTCTTCTCTGCTGTCTGGAGGAACAGCCCACCTCACTGAAATATCCTGGAGATTTTGGAGATTTTCCACTAAGCAGTGATCTTTTAGCACCTTTGGCCTCCAAACAACTTGTAGGTTTTGATTTCTGACAAAACGGAGTGAAAGAAGCTTTGACATTTGACTGTTCTGACTAAATGAATCTCGGGCTGTGTTTCAAAAAAGTCTCATCATTGCAACAAGACTAAAAATGTTGGCATGTTGTGCAAGCATAGTATTTATCCTTACTTGTTTCCCAGTTCTTCTCCGCCTGGTGTCTCTATTTCCTCTCCTCTTTCCTTCATAGTGATTAACCATTCTTTCCTCCCCCTTCTCTCAGCCGTGTTGACCGCTGGCTTTGGCCTGCCTGCTAAGTACGTTATCCACTGTAACAGTCCAGGCTGGGGCTCCGACAAGTGCGAGGAGATGCTGGACAAGACGGTGAAGAACTGCCTCGCTCTGGCAGATGAGAAGAAACTGAAGTCTGTGGCCTTTCCCTCCATCGGGAGTGGAAGGTAAGAAAACACGCAGATGAAAGACACCTGTAAAAACAAGACACTCTTAGAAAATGTAATGTTATCTGGTCCACATCCTGTATATCACCAGTATGCAGTATGATTATCCACTTAAGGACATTTTTACTTTTACTTTTTTTTTTTTTTTTTTGGTCTAAAGCTAAGTGGGGTTTTTTTTTTTGGTTTTTTTTTTTTAAAAAGGGGGATAATGCGAACACTTTGGAAACCCAAAAAACTGTACTGAGTTCTCCTGAAATAACATTCCAGCTGGAAGAAACGTCTCAGATCTCCTTATAACATCTTTGAGTAGCATTCTTGGATCTTCGGCTATAGAAAATATTGTTCATGCTCATGTTTATTTGTGTACCCATACAGTTTTCCTTCTTTTATTTTGTAACTTAAAATGGGGATTGAGACGAATTCTTTGGCAACAGAAGTGAACACATCCAGCTTGATCCCATAGAAAGCACTGAGAGCAGCACAATGAGGTCATAGACTGTATATAAAAGATGGAGATGACCAACATGACATCCTGACTGTACGTGATGTTGCATTTTAAGCGTTTTTTTTTCCCTACACAGCAAAATCTCCAGTGTTAAATTAACACTGGAGAGTGTCTATATGGGTCCACACCTCTGAGTGTTAAATACAACACTGTTGAGTGTTAAATTAACACTTTTGACAGTGTTATATGTGTAAAAGTAACCTAGTCAGTTTTGAAGATTAACAAAGACTAACACTGAGCAGTGCTGATTTTCTAACACTGGAATATTTCTAACATTTTGAGTTATTTTCCAGGCTGAAAATCAAACCCGCTTCTAGTGCCAATCTTCATTTTAGATTTACATACTTGATATTAATTACTCAGAATTACTTTACTGAATATTTGACAATGGTTCAAACAAAGGTTTGATTGAAAAGGTAACTCTGCATGTTGTAGCATCAAAATTAAGCAATAAAGCAACATTTACCAAAGTAAAATGCTATGTGGCTTTACATTAGTCAACTTAACACACATTCACATGTCTGAGGAGAAATTGGCAAAATTTCTTTAAAAAGATCTTTACACACTTGTTGTTTTCTTAAACTCTATAAAAGATGAACAGGCCTGCAGAAGTTGACTCCTGCATAGCAATCAGATTGCTTTTTCTGGTCTAAAGCCACATCTTTGCATTTTCATAGAAATAAATGATATTTAATTTTAATGAAGAAATAATAATTATGGCCTCATTTAGAGGAGACTGAGATAAAATAGGTTGTGATTTAATCCAGAGTGTATTCCTTGACCAGTTGCCTATTGGTAGCATGAAATCCTTTGCAAACCTCTGCGATTTCTTTGGTGGTAGTAGTTTACATGGAATATGCTGACTTGTTTGCAACTCAGTCTTTATTTAGCAGGAGTGAAACTCTGAAAAGTGTGACCCAGGCTGTTCACCTTTTAAAGTAAAAGCTGTGCCTTTTGAAATATGATGTTTGCCATAGTAAGGCTGCTGAATGTGAACGTCTTCCAAGTTTCACTATGGCTGGGAAATTAAATTGGCAGATGTTTGCAGACAAGTCGGCATTTTTCCTGCAAACTACAGACAACTGCAGCAATCTGCTAAAGCAATCACATGGAGGTTTTTTTGGTGCTGCACCTTCTTTGCAACAGATTTAACTCAGCTTCATGCAGAAACCTTCAGCATGTACTCCAAACTAGTCAACGTTTATTTTAATGTCGTCGGATGGTCGCACAGTTTAGGCCTGTGTTACTGAGGTCTAAACAAGATAGTTAGCATGAGCTTTAGTTAACCCACACCACCCACTCATCCAAATGTGGCTGCATTCAGTATCTAAAGACCAAAATGCCGACAAGACGACAATTTCAAGACCAGTGGATGATGTTATACTGGCTACGTCTGACTTTTTTAGCTAACGATGTGTAATTAGCCTGCTAAACTTTTTAGCACTTTTACTTTTGTTCTCATTAGCATTTAGCTTGAAACCTTTTTTTTTCTCATTTCTTATCTTGATAATCAGCAGCTCAGATTTGATCTTCCCAACCTTTGTTAAGCCACTGGTTGGAAACCAGCGAATAACGGTGGGCAGCCAAAGTTCAGGTTCATGAGGTTTGAACAGCTATAGGAAAAACTTTACCTCGCCATTCACCCTTTTACAGCTTAAAATTGGTGGCTGAGTTGAAAGCAGTAAAACTTGGTTCCAAATTCAATCTATAATATGTGCCTAGTAAATAACTACCTTCATGTGTATCCTTACCACTAACATAATGACAATCTCTGCAGTGTGTGCGTGTGAGACCACATTTCACTAAGTGTGTGCGAACTCTCCCATCAGGAATGGTTTCCCGAAGCAGACGGCAGCCCAGCTGATCCTCAAGGCCATCTCCAGTTATTTTGTGGCCACCATGTCTTCCACCATCAAGACCGTCTACTTCGTGCTGTTTGACAGCGAGAGCATCGGGATCTATGTGCAAGAAATGGCGAAGCTGGAGACGAGCTAAAAGTACGGAATATTCCCCTCCTTGTTTTTACCTGCAAGGAAAGAAGGCGGCGTTTACTAGTGATCGGTTAATTTTGAAGAGAAGAAGAAGAAAAAGAAAAATTTTTCTTAAGGCTGGGAACTTGTTTTTGCATTAAGTTTGTAAAATTCCTATATCGTTTTTAATTTCCTATTTACTTGTCATCACTGGCATTTAAATGTAGACGTGCACTGTTCATTCTGCGGTCTTTTAACACACAGTGCCACACAAAACAGATTGAACAAGTGAGAACACTTACTCTAAGATTTAATTTTCAGAACATATACAGTTTAAAAAGATGCTATGAGACATTGCTACACCTCAAGTACAAAAGGCTTCCAGAGAAGGCCGATAAATACGGGTTAATGCATGTAAACGCAGTACAGTCAATAAAAACAGCTACCCTCATCCTTTCGTGCTTAGTAACACAGGACACTTAATCGTGTGTTGTATTTTTTTGGGTATTAATTCTACATTTTTGGATAATTTCTGTTGGTATCGCACTGTGTAATGAAAAGCGTAAAGAAAAGTTCCGTTTGGTTTGGTCTTTACGAGACCTGTGTTAAAGACTAAAGGAGTGAGTTTTTGTGTTGTGTGTTGCAAATCTCTTTTTTTTTTTTTTTTTTTTTCTTTTTTTGCCTTTGATTCCACAGGCAAAAGATGCTTTCGCAGTCTGCTGCAGATGCCTTCAATTTCCAAGAAAAACCTCAATTGGAAAGAGTTTATTGATATGTCTTGACCCTACTATTAAGAGTTTATACTTGCACCTGGAAAAATGTACATTTAAATTGAATAAGTGGAGATTGGAGGTCTTTGCAGAGCAACAATGGGTTATATTGTGTGTTCCTATAAGTGTTTATATAGATGGAGTATTTGTGAAATGTTATAGTAAAATAATGAACTGTAACATAGATTTTTATTTTCTATTTTAATTTTCTGACTGATTCTAAGTGGCACGGTATTTGGAAGGAAAAAAAAAAATGTAGAAGTGTGTTTGTCTTTGTTAAGCCATAAAACATACAGTATGTACTCATTCAGAGGCTGTCTTGCTGTTGCTTTTGGTTTTTGGTTCTTTCCATTCAGCCACCACCAGATGGCGCCCTATAATCACAAATTGGACTTTCCATCTCAGCCATTTTCTTGTGCAGCAGCAGACCTCTTCACACAGACAGCGGTTGATTTGAGGTTGGATTTGAATTGGGACTATTTGAACGTCTATGAGGAACCGGACTGTTTTGCTGCATTTAGACTTTTCAACAGTCTAACTTTTTATGGGAAAAAAAAAAGTAAGGTGCTTTCTAATAATTGCTACAATTGATGATTGCAAAAGGTCTGTACACACTCCGGTAATAAAATACCTTCAAACATTCTGAGATCATTTTGTGTTTCATGCAGATCTGTGGGATGCTGCCAGTAACTGAGCTTCATGATTAAAAATGCATGTGTGAGCGTGAAGTTTAATTGAAATAGAAGCCTTCGTTGTCCCCTTTGGAAAAGAGTGTGTGTGCTGGATGTAATAATAAATCCCTCTCCACTGTATTAAAGTGAGCATAATTGTAAGTGTTGCAGAACAAATGGCAAAAAGATGGCACGCTACATTTATTTGATTTGACTGAGAGCCACAGCGAAAGCCTCACGAACCTCGGCTCATTGAGCATATGCGTGTCTGTGTTCAGGAGGACCAAACGAGTTTTTTTACTGGAAGAAATCCTGAGTAGTTTTAATTTCTCTTTTAATTTAATTTAGGGTCACACGTTTAAGATTGGTTCAAGTTGTGCATGAATCCAAAAGACTTAAAGCAACTGTTTTTGGTTAGGATGAGTTTGTCATTGTTGCTTAACTTTTACTTCCCTACAGATTTTTCACATGAGCTTCTCGCATATCTCCCATTTTCATCAGTGTAAAATAGAACATAAGGAGGCAAATGTTAAAATAATAATCATAGAAAACCCAAACTTTTCCAGTTACTTATTGCAATTCAAGTTGTTCAAGTCCAATCAATAGCTTAAAATGGTACAAAGGTAAGGTTAAAAAAAAAAAAGGTAAGGTTACTCAAAACTGAAAAATAATGTACATTTCAGAATTATACAAAAAGGCCTTTTTCAGGGAACACAATTTAAAGCTGGAGGTTAATCAACCCTTGACAGCTGGTGCTACCAAGTCTTACAGGTGTTCCAACTTTTCTGGATTACTTACAACCCCCTCTGTCTGCATGAAAGCAGTGTTGGAAAACACTGCGGTACCATACCCCCGTGAGCATCAGTTGCACTACATTGTACTGCAGAAAGTAGTGTGTTGCTACAAAAATGGCAAGAAAAGGGCAAATAACAATGGAAGAGAGACAGACCATCGTAACACTTAAAAATGTCGATCTTTCCTACAGAGAAATTTGAAGGAAAGTCAAGGTGTCTGTGGGTACAGCTTTCTTCACCGTTAAAAGGCACTCAGAAAATGGGGTAAACTGTCACAGGAGAAGGCCTGGCAGACAAAGCCACGACTGAATCAGAGGACAAGTTTCTGAGAGTTAACAGCTTGCATGATAGGTGACTCACAGGACAACAGCTTTAAGCACAGCTTAATAGTGTTCGTGGTAAGCAAGTCTCAGTTTCAACTGTGAAGAGAAGACTTCGAGCTGCAGGTTTGACAGGACGAGTTGCAGCAAGAAAGCCACTGCTAAGATGTCAGAATAAGACAAATGAAACACTGAAACTGGACTGCTGAAGACTGGAAGAGGTATTATGAACTGAAATCGTTACGCAGGATCTTTGCACGCTGTTGAGTAGGTGAAAGGATGGCTCCACAGTGTGTGGCATCCACTGTCAAACATGGACGAAGACGTATGATGGATCCAGGGTCGGTGACTTGAATAGACTGAGAGGCACTCTGAACCAAACTGCTACTAGAGGGCTACCACAGCATCCTGCAACGCCATCCAATTCCATCTGATATGCACCTAATTGATCAGGGGTTCATCCTACTGCAGGATAATGACCCAGAACATACGTCTAAGCTATGCCAGAACTACCTCAGGAAAAAAGAACAAGATGGTAAGCTTGAAAACATGGAGTGGCCAGAACAGTCTCCAGACTTAAACCCCATCGTTCATCATTGGGATGAACTGGACAGAAGAGTGAAAGCAAAGCGACCTACAAGTGCCACACATTCAGATCATCTACCTCCATCTCACCCTACACCTACCATCCCCTTCTATCACACTAACCCTCTCCATGTCCTCCTTCACTACATCCATGAACCTTCTCTGTAGTCGTCTTCTTCCCCTATCCCTGCTCTTCATTGCCCTGCATGTCCAAACCATCTTAGCTCAACCTGAGCTGGCCCTCTGAAATACTCATTTGGTATTTTGAGCAAAAAGCCTCTATGCATAATAATGATGCACCATCATTTTTAAAGTAGTGTGTGTTTTCTGCCGACTCATTCAACAAGTACAAAACATTTGGAGTCATTTAGAGTTGTGTTACTTGGCACGTGGTGAACAGGTTTAATATTCACTCTACTTTTTAAACTCGTTTTTTTCTCATCTGTTTTTCTCATCTCCTGACTCTACTGCTCAAGGTCTCTTCCTACTAGAGAGGAGAGTTTGTTCGCAGGGGACTGTCATATAGTTGATGTTCTCACTCTTATATTAAAAGCTCTTTATAACAAATTCATTAAAACGCCTTGAGATGACTGTTATTTTAATCTGGTGCTATATAAATAAAATTTCAATTAAATTCAATTAAATTGAAGTTATGTTCTCAACTGATTTCAGCCACCAGGTGCAATCTTGTCTCTAGCTTGTTTGGTGTTGGGCATGTAGAGCAGGTAAAATCAAAAATTAGCTGAAAGATGAAAATAAGGAAACTGGGATATTGTACCACCATGTGATCCATTGTTGATCTACAAATGTTGCCAGTACAGTAGTAATAATATATTTGCAACATAAAATTCATTAAAATTGCTGTTAAAAAATTGTGGTATGTCTCAGTCATACTATAGTGAAAACAAGACGACAACTTCCTTGTACCTAGGAAAAATCGGTGGTTGCTCAGTGATCGCACTGAGTGTTTTTCACAGTGACTCCAAGTGGTTGCAGTGACCAACTGGTTGCCCAGAGTTTGAGCGTGCAACACCCCCAACAATTGTGGCCAGACTGGGACTGGCTGCAATCACTCTCAGACAGATTGGTTAGGGTTTGGAAATAATTTGGGTCTACGTGATAAACACAGACAGATTGCCAACACAGTGTAATCAATCTGAGTCAGTATGGGCTGAGCAGCTTGTCTGTGATGTGTGTCTTTGCAATACGGGACTCAACAACTGGTGGTTTTCTGGTTATATTCCTGCATGAAAGCAACGTTGCAGATTGTCTATGAGTTTAAAGTTGAATTGATAGTTTCTATAGTAACTGTTTCACTATTTGTGAAGGAATCTCTGAATTTCAAATCTGTGAACCTCAGGCTGGAGTCTGAATGTCAATAGTTAATGTTAATTTTTGTATGCTAAACAGCAAAATATTTGTGATTTTAGCTGGTTTATCTCAGTTAATGGCTGTAACCAGACTGCATATAAATGCCAACTTGACTCCATTCTGTTGCAAATTCAGTTTTATTGCAATTGTAACTCTGTTTTGATGCCCAAGTTGCTTTGAAGACAGCAGCTGATGGTGATTGACTACATACCTGGTACCTGTCACTAAAGCAACCTTGTCATAGGCAACATTGCTCACAGTTGCAGTAATTTGGTTGCGCTGGCATTCCCCGATTGAATGGTTGCTGTCCCAAGGTAAAGCTGGCTGATGTGAGGCATACGGTTCTGTACCAAAAACCGCTGTGTGATTGCTTTGGAAGACACAGACTGGTCTACCAACACTTACCAATGGTTCTATAAGCAGAGAAACTGTAAGAGAAAAAAAAATGTGACACAAAATTGACACAAAGGTCAAAATTGTGCCTCAGTGCTTCAGCCAACACATGTCAACACATTACTCTGAAGGCGAGCGTCTTCTGTGTCAAGTTTATGTCACGCTTTTCAACCTCATCTGTATATTATCTGTGAATCAGACTTCTCAAACCAACTATATACTTGTGTCCCCCCTCTTATTTACATTTAAATCAGGCTAGGTTTAATAGTTTTTGGATCATTTCAGTCATTTTAATGTCGGTCTTATTTACTGAGGAAAATTGCTCCAACAAAATCAAACAGGCTGTCTTTTTTCAGTGATTTTCCCAGCTCTCAGTAATCATATTGTTACTTCAGATAGAAATGATGAAGAAAAACTGTAAAAACAGTTACACTAAACCTGAAGTCTTTGAAGGTATAAAAAAACATGAAATAAACATTCTATATTTGGTGCACCATGCAGGAAAAAGTGAGCCGGTTATTGGATAGAGCCCAGGCCTTGGTCCTGTCCTGGGGCTACATGCTGGTAGGGAACAGGGAAGACCATGGAAGTCAGATGGGGGTCAGTTTCCCAGCCATCCAGGGAGGCCGGGACCTGAGACCTCCTCTGAGGGCGCCCATCTGATGCCTAATCCCCAGGAAATACAGGCAGGTTTCAACCCCCTTCCAACCCCTCCCATCTCTTTTCCTCCATCTCACCATCCATCCCTCCATCCAACCCCGCTCCAGCTCGCAGGCAGAAAAGCCCCATAAATTCAAAGCATCTGTACGGGCAAGGGCCAATCCGATGGTCGCCTTTCCCAGAGCCCGCGCAGATGAAATTTTATTCTTTGCACGAAAAAATTACAGGGGGAGGGGGGGGGGAAGGAAAAACAGAAAATAAAGTAAAGCAAACAGTGAGGAAAGATCAAGGAGTAGAAAAGATGAGGGGTAAGGGGCTGGTCATCAGAGATCTGCCCCGCTTTTCATTGTATTCATAAGACGAGAGCAATATTATGTTCTTTATAGCCATGAGTCCTGACTGGAGCCTGATAACAGCAACAGTCTGGTTCCAACTGCTACTGGTTTTGGACATCGAAGTGTACGTGTTGGCACCGAGATGAGTTGAACACAAGAAAGGGTCATTAATAGAGGGTCAAAGAAAAGGCTAACAAGTGTGTTAAAGGTGTTATCACTTTGATTATTTCATAAAACTGAAATCAAAGAGGAAGAAAATGTTATATTTCTATTCTTTTAATAAAAACAGTTTCCATTAATTGGCCACTTTCGGACTCTGCAAATTGCAGGATGTTCTAAAAAGCTAACATATGTAGCTTACAACACAAACACCCCTACATACAGATCATTCAGTGGCATAAAAAACATAAAACCTCCAAATAAAGAACTTCATCAGCAGCATTTATTGGTAAACTACTCTGGCTTCTTTCTGTTGTCATTGTCACTATCTTCTACAGTTTTTTACATTTCAGC